CAAGACTACCAACAACAGTTAAATGAATATTAATATTGGTTTGTTTTTATGTGGTTTTATTTAAGAGGTGACAAGCAGTCTCCCGCTAAGAATGGGGAATGGGTTAGGTTTTGCGTACTAATTTCAAGACGTGAAAATTAAAATGTTCATAACAAAAAAATAGATAGTATACACATGCCGTAAATTGTTATTCTGGGACATATCCAAATTTGAGATCTGACGAAATGTTCCAGATTACAGGTAAAGATCCATATTTATACTTCATTTCTTAGCTAGATTTATATATGGCAACCAGGGGCTGCCAAGCAGGATACGCCCACATTTTGCAAGAGATGGATAGAGAACAAGCTAAAAAGAAACAGGATTTTTTGTACAGTCAGGGATAATAATCCAGAAAGTTATGGTCTGAAATGCGCAAATATCAAAAGGGACTGAGATCTTTGGGATATAAAGATATATTTTAAGTTTCATCAGAATCGGATTGGTGTACAATGAGCGGCCATTTTGTTGGGCAGTTTCATTTTCGAATTCAACCTTCATTATGGTAGAATGGTGAAATATTTAAGCGGTTTTGAAAATTGGAAAAAAAAATTGTGACCTCTAGAGACTCTGCAAGCTAAAAATGCGATTTTTTGAACAATCTGGACCCATAATCCAGGAAGTCACGTTCGGATATCCGCGATTATCAAAAGAAACCAAGATCTTAGTGTCTAATGGTGATATATTCACATGTTTTTTTTTTAAATCGGATAAAAATTGTGACCTCTACAACAAACTAAAAACATGATTTTTCATACAATCAGGGGCCATAATTCATGAAGTCACTACCCGATATGCCTGAACATCGAAAGGAACCAAGATCTTTGGGTTATAAACATGCATTTTAAGTTTCATCAAGATCAGATCAAAATTGTGACCTCTAGAGGGTCCACAACTTTGATATCAGATGTTTACACTAATTGCGTACGAGGGATGGCCATCTTCTCCGGCAATTTTGGTCCAATTTTCATGAAATTGGAACTCAACCAAAATTACGGTGTAACAGTGATATATTTGAACGGTTTTTTTAAATCGGATAATAAATGTCACATCTAGAGGGACCTCAAGCTAAAAATGCAATTTTTCGTACAATCAGGGGCCATAATTCAGGTAGGTACTATCAGATATGTGCGAATATCGAAAGGAACCAAGATCTTTGGATTATAAACCTACATTTCAAGTTTCATCAAAATCAGAAGAAAATTGTGACCTCTAGAGGGTCCACAACATTGATATCCCATGTTTTTACGCTATTTGAGTGCGAGGGGCGGTCATTTTGTCTGTCAGTCTTGGTCCGATTTTTACGCAATTCGAACTCAACCATCCTTTGGGTGTAACGATGATATATTCAAACGTTTTTTAAATCGGATAAAAATTATGAATGCTATAGGGTCCACAAGTTAAAAACACGATTTTTCGTACAATCAAGGGCCATAATTCAGGAAGTTAAAGTCCGATATGCGCGAATATTGAAAGGAACCAAGATCTTTGGGTTATAAACTTACATTTTAAGTTTCATCAAAATCAGAAGAAAATTAAATTGAGCCCTCTAGAGAGTCCTCAACCATATTTTTACGCCATTTGAGAACGAGTGGTGGCCATTTTGTCTGTCAGTTTTGGTCCGATTTTCACGAAATTCGAACTCCATCATCCTTAGGGTGTAACGGTGATATACTAATATGTTTTTTTAAATCAGATAAAAACGTGACTTTTCGTACAATCAGGGGCCATGAAGTTACGGTCCGATACATGCCAATATCGAAAGGAACCAAGATTTTAGGGAGATAAACCTATATTTCAAGTTTCGTTGAAATTCGATAAAAATTGTGACCTGTAGAGTGTCCGTAAACAAATTGTGGACTGACGGAAGTCTGGACAGACAGGGGCGACGGCATAATACGTCCACATGAAAATGTGGGCGTATAAAAACAGATCACACCATAACTATTTCTCAGTGTAAATTATTGCACATTCATTTTTTTGTACTGCATCAAGCAAGCAAACTGCTTATCTATACCTATTCAATTGTTTGTTCAGAAAACTAGTACCATTATGTATAGCATTCGTTGTAAAACTAATTCGGAGAGATTTTGATTATCTATACCTATTCAATTGTTTGTTCAGAAAACTAGTATCATTATGTATAGCATTCGTTGTAAAACTAATTCGGAGAGATTTTGATTTAACAGTTTTTACGTATTTTAGAAACAGGTTCCGAAGCATTTTGGTTCTGTTATGCAAGATCATTTTCGACGTTCCAAAGTAAAAGTTCGGTGCTAATAAAAGACTACCTAAAGATAAATTTTAAATGTTCCAATTATTAATTAGAACAGGTTTCGCTTTAGTTTTTATATTTTACGCTGACATTTATTACTTTAAATCTTCCTAGTGCTAAAACGGAAAAGGTGACCTTTTGACCTCTGGGGTCACAAAGAACAAAGGTGAATTTGGCAAGTTTACATTTTTATTGAAAGTGTGATTACTTTCGATCATTTTCAGCTTCTTTTCATAATACAAGAATGACTGGGCATTCACTTTCAGTGCAAATGAACTCATTTGACCTTTGACCCCGAATACCTCGAAAAAGCCCCAACGGCGGACTGATTACCACTTGGTATCGCATTCTACGCAAAATTTTACTCTAGAAAAGTTTGGTCTGGTTTAGTGCCCATTTGATGGACCCCCCCCCCCCACCACACACACACACAGCCTCCAGACTACTATGGACACTAAATTTTAATTATGGTCACAAATGAGTGCTAATTAATTAGCTCTTAAGTAGCATTAGTACAGCATTTCATGTTCTTAAGCAGTCATTTTGTGCAGTGAAATGGTGTTAGAAAGAAAAATAATCACAGACAAGACAATTTAATCAAATCCAACGTTGTATCCTCTTAAGTCATGCATTCTGTTTCTTAGTGTTAAGTATGAAACCTTTGCAAGAAAATTTTCGATGGACATTGAATTTTAAATCCTATTAAATATGGGAGGGTTAGGGGGAGCACTGCCTGGTATATGCACAGGTTACAAAACTGAAGACTTGGCTTTCCAAAATGATCTAGTGGTTGTAGACCTCAAACTTTTTGGACTCAATATTTTGATTAAATCTCACTGGGCTCCCGGGCTAACTGTTTACATTTCGTTCATTCTATGGTTACTTTGATAGTTGGAAGTCAAATAGCAGCCAATTTTATAACAATGATTTCACACCATCTATATCTGTTTTCATCTGTTTGACACTAGTTTATAGCATTATGAAGTATCTATATCTAAATAAATAAAACATGTATCCCCCAAGTCATCTGACGTAATTCTACCGTAACATCACATGCTGGCAGCTGGAATGGAAATGCACACAGCTTGTTGTCTTGTGTATTTAATCATTTAAAAAGTCCAAAACAATTTTCAGAAATAAAGGCTATGAATAATATACTATAAAATTTGACCAAATCAAATAATTAGGTCGGGATAATATTTCATATATAATGTTATTTTTAACATAAATGTAAGAAAGGGATTCCAGGGAGGCATTACATGTTAGCCGCACGAGGTAATGTAATATAGTGTCATACACAGGTGTGAAGTCGTGTTTTGATAATCAATTTATTACGGATATTTTAGAATTTTAATATGGATTATAGAATTGCTGAGCCAAAGCAGATTTGTGGACATGCAAGAAGTTTTAGGCCTTCTGATTTTGAAGAAATAATACAGAATCATATTACGATATTGATATGGACCAATGTAGTTTTAAAGCCCTAAACAATTTAAAGATGTGTTCCCAGAAAAGTATTTATTGGGTTGTTATTTCCAATAAAAGTATAGCAATTTTGGTATATATGGAAAGTAGAGATATCCAATCTTACTAGAAAAATACTGGATTCCCCGAAAAACACTCATGGAGCGTATACAGGACAAAAATGTAAGGGTTCCCCTAATCGACAGCCCGACGATTAGGAATTTCTGCATGCATGATGTCAAAGGTCACACGCGAACATTGAGCGCTTGATGTACAAGTTAGACGTACAACACTTTCTGAGATAAAAATGACGGAAAAAGACGCGGGTAGTGGATAATCCGAGAATTTTATTAGGATTCAATATTTATGATAAATAGTAAGCGATTAAAGACAACATCGTCTTATGTATGCAATGAATTCTCCTCTGACTTCCAAGAGAAGTAAGTCACATGACAGAAACATAACCTGGTTTGATCGAATTTTTATAGCAGGGCATTCCTTCGCAATTACAATGTTTGAGAAGGATTTGAAGCAAAATTATGACAAATTAATTAGTTTGAATATGTTTTTAGTCCATATATACCATTAAATCACCCAGTTTGTACGTGGGAATGTTTCTTTAAGGGTGTTTGTGGTGACCTAATTCTAGACTCAGTTTACCCCCCAAAAAATGTCCGACATGCAAAATTTTGAAATTGCATCCCTGGTGTAAACACATTATCTATTGAACCAGTTCCGCCTAACAGCCCATTGATTTTCTCTAATGATGATATGTCTGAATAGACATTATAAATGAAAACATTAAAACATTGTACTTATAGTTTATTTATTATTCATAATCTTTATCAATCAAAGTTTCCCAGTTTAAAAAAAAATGTCTTAGTGACAAAATTGCCTTAGTGAAGAAGGAATTACTGTGGCATATTTTTTGAAAAAAATGCCTACGTTCCAATTTCACAAATTTTGACCCCTGCAAATAGCTCATTGCTGGATAATGTTAATCATCAAACCCCGTCCAGACATTCACGTAATGAACATCTACAATTTACCTCAGTTAAAAGCAGAGTAATCCCATCAAGCCGTCTGTACTAATTGGTTTGTGTTGCCTGTTTTTATTTATTGTAAATTCCATACTGAAATATAGGCCCATATAAAGGTCTTAAAAACTATGGATGATTCCTATCATATATAAGAACTTGATGGAGAAAAAATTTATACTCACGGTTGGCAATTTACAGATTTAAGATGATAAAACAGTTCAGCTTCATGTGTTTGCAGTAAAGTCTCAAATAACTGACTTAATGATAGAATTCCCTGTAAAAATACATTAATTCAGAATTGCAATGAAGTGATGATTGATTCCCTGATGCCCTATCGTTTCAAGCATTACAGTAGGCCTAATCAATTCCAAAACATTAAAGCAGACTAAATATCTGCACTTGACGCGTGTCAACCAATCTACTTGAATTTACCCTACGGATTTGTGTATTTTAATAAACGGTAAACAAGCAGTTGCCATGCAAAATATGCACACATTTTGCAAGAGATGACAGAGAACAAGCCAAAAAAGCGATTTTCTTGCAATAAGGGTCAATAATCCAGGATGTTACGGTCATGCATCAAAATCAAAAAAAGATCTTTAGGATATAAACATATCCTTTACTTTTCATCAAATCTGAATTTAAACTCAACTGGCATTAGGGTATAACGGTGATATATTTGAACGTTTTTTAAAATCCGATGAAAAATTCATCAAAATCTGACAAAAATTGTGACCTCTAAAGGGTCCACAAACTTCGCATTACTTTTCTTTCCTTATTTGCGTTCAAGGAGCAAGCAGTCATTTTGTCAGACTTTTTCTTTCCGATATTCATGAAATTTGAATTCAACCAGCACTAGGGTGTAATGGTGACATATTTGAACAGTTTTTAAAATTAAATAAAAAAAATTCAATAATCCAGGATGTTACCGTCATGCGTCGATATGAAAAGAAACATATCTTTTAAGTTTCATAAAAATCGAAAATTTGAACTCAACTGGCATTAGGGTGTAACAGTGATTTGCATGGTTAATAAAATCAGATAACCAGCAGCTGCCAGGCAGGATACGCCCACATTTTTGAGAGATGGATAGAAAACAAGCTAAAACGAAAGTGATTTTTCCTACAATCAAGGGCCATAATTCAGGAAATGACAATTCGATATGCGCAAATATCGAAAGGAACCAAGATCTTTGAGTTATAAACTTACATTTCAAGTTTCAACAAAATCTGATAAAAATTGTGACCTCTATAGGGTCCACAACCTTGATATACCATTTTTTACGCAATTTGAGAACGAGGGGCGGCCATTTTGTCTGTCAGTTTTGGGCCGATTTTCACGAAATTCGAACTCAGTCATCCTTAGGGTGTAACAGTCATAATAAAAATTATGACCTCTAAATAAGGGTCCACAAGCTAAAAACGCAATTTTTCGTACAATCAGGGGCCATAATTCAGTAAGTTACGGTCCGATATGCACGAATATCGAAAGGAACCAAGATCTTTGGGTTATAAACTTATATTTCAAGTTTCAACAAAATCAGATAAAAATTGTGACCTCTATAGGGTCCACAACCTTGATATACCATATTTTTACGCTACTTGAGAACGAAGGGCTGCCATTTTATCTGTCAGTTCTATGCCGATTTTCACGAAATTCGAACTCAGTCGTCCTTAGGGTGTAACGGTGATATATTAACACGGTTTTTTAAATCGGATAAAAATTATGACCTCTATAGGGTCCACAAGCCAAAAAACGCATTTTTGAGTACTATCAGGGGCCTAATTCAGGAAGTTACAGTCCGATATGCGCAAATATCGGCAGGAACCGAGATCCTTGGGTTATAAACTTACATTTTAAGTTTCAACAAAATCGAATAAAAATTGTGACCTCTACAGTGTTCACAAGCCAAAAACGTGATTTTTCGTACAATCAGGGGCCATAATCCATGAAGTTACGGTCCGATACATGCCAATATCGAAAGGAACCGAGATCTTAGGGTGATAAACCTATATTTCAAGTTTCATTGAAATCGGATAAAAATTGTGACCTGTAGACTGTTCACAAACAATTGTGGACAGACAGACGGACAGACGGACGGGGGCGACGACAATATACGTCCACATGAAAATGTGGGCATATAAAAATTTATTAAAATCTGACAAAAATTGTTACCTCTTGAGGGTCCACAACCTTCGTATTACATAATTTTACACTATTTACGGGAGCAGCCATTTTGTCAGACAGTTTTTTTCCGATTTTCATGAAATTTGAACTCTACCGTCATTAGGGTGTAACAGTGATATATTTGAACAGTTTTTAAAATAAGATAAAAAAAAAAATCATCAAAATCTGACAAAAACTAGAGGGTTCACAATCTTCATATTACATACGTTTACTCTATTTGTGTTGAAGGAGCAGCCATTTTGTCAGAGAGTTTCGGTCTGATTTTGAGAAATTCGAACTCAACCATATCAGGGTTTAACAGTGATATGTTTACTCGATTTTTAAAATCGGATAAAAATTGTGACCTCTAAAAGGTCCAGAAGCTAAAATCGTGATTTTTTCATACAATAAGGGTCAACAATCCAGGAAGTTACAATCCGATATGTATGAATATCTACATTAACCAAGATCTTTGGGTTATAAACATACATTTCAAGTTTCATCAGAAGCGATTAAAAATTGTGACCTCTAGAGTGTCTAAAGCTAAAATTGTGATTTTTTGTATAATCAGGGGCCATAATCCATGAAGTTATGGTCTGACACATGCCAATATCGAAAGGAACCAAGATCTTTGGGGAGATAAACATATATTTCAAGTTTTGTCAAAATTGGATGAAAATTGGTACCTGTAGAAAAAATTGTGGACGGATGTTCTGACGGACAAATGCCACGATAATATACATCCACATGAAAATGTGGGAGTATAAAAACGTAATATACACAAATAGGGTAAGCGATGTGATCAAAACTTCTCGAAGAGTACACAGTTTATGAGAATTAACAAAGAAAAAAAATGGCAAATTGTACTGTTTAATATCAGGACATTTTCAAATCAAACAACCAAACTATAGTCACCTTGGCACCAACAATTTTCAAATATGAACTTATGTGAATGGCTTGTGCATTCTTTAATATGTATTTATAATTGTTCCTTTTGATCATGGACCATATGTAATAGACTTTTATCAGAAATCTTGTCTTCGGCTATTGGTAGGACTTCCAACAACAGTAAAGTAAAACGAATATTGATATAAACTTTTTACATATTACAGGTAAAGTTCCATATTCATATTTCATTATAAACACTTCTAATGTGGCGTATTCATTGACAAACGAAACATACATAGAAGAAACACCAAACATTCATAATAACTACAGTCGTATAAATGCCATACATAGACTTTTAGACGATACAATGGTTCTTATTCGTTGTTTAGCAACATTTGTTCCTTTTTAGAAACTGAATAAAATTGCAGCAACACTTCTCATCCCCTGTCTTCGTGTAGTTTTGATGCCACGGGTTCCACTAGGTCCATGCTTCCTACACATTAGATATCGTCAGTGTCATTCCAAAACCTCGTAAGTTGGCATTTTTTCGAAAATCACTTTTTTGCATAACTTAATCTATTAACATAAAATACATGAAATATAAAAAAATCCGAGTTCTGCGATAAATAGTTTTCATTTTATTAGCGTGTGACCAAACCTCGTATCACGATTGACCTGATTTTGTTCTTTTCTAAATGCTCGTATCTCGGCAACGTGTTATCGATGACATTGTCAAATTCCTTAAAGCAGTATATATGATAAAATTTGAAGGAAAAATGTTGTAATAAGATGTGTCATGGTAGGCATAATTATTAGGAGTAAATAATATCATTACCTGCATTGTTTTTTATGTGGAGATTATCTATTTTAAGTAACAAAATAAGGTAAAGGCGATACCAAGTCATTACTGCCGGGCTACGTCAAATAATTCCATGTTTGTCAGTTTTAAGCTTCTATATAAAAAATACAAAAGCTACTGCAATAATAACGGCCCACAATAATCTCTTGGTCAAAATCTACACATTCTGGCATGAATCATTTTTGCAGTTTTCAAGCAAAACAATCTCGCGGAACCAGTCTAAAATTCTCATATTGTTGTCAATACCCCTAATGTACGTTACCCCACTGAGTATCTTGACCTATCTGTGGGCAATATCTCACAAGTAAGTTAACCTACTGAACATCTAGACCTACCTGTAGGCAATACCCTACGCGTAAGTTACCATGTTGATTATCTTGACCTACCTGTGGGTAATAACCCCACTCTAGTAACTTACCCAACTGAGCGTTTAGACCTACTTGTGGGCAATAACCCTCAAGAAACGTACCTGACTGGGCATCTAGACATAACTGCGGCTAATACTCATCAAGTAACTTACCCAAGTGGGCATATAGGTAATATCTCTCAGGTAACTTACCCGTCTGAACATACTTACCTACAGGTAGGCAATACCTTCAGTGTCGCCCCCCCCCCTCCATAAATCTGGTCTGCCCTCTGTTTGCCCCCCGAATAATTTTAGAAAATAAAAAAAAAAGTATTTGTGATACGTTTCGGTAATCAATACCATCTACAGTGATTAAATCCCATATACCCACTCAGTCATAGACTTGCATGTTGTAGAGCCCGCTGAGTGATTTCTTACCAAGTCCATCCTGCTGTAAACATACTATAAACAATGTGAATCACTTGAGAAATGCTTTTTACAATCCCCAAAGTTTTTGGGTATAGGTTCAACGTACGCGGCAAGAATATGCATTCACTTGATACTCACTCCGTTTGTTTGACACCTCCCTCTCTGTTCGGATAAGCTGGTGATTTGGCGACGAACAGTATCTGGTCAACTCTATTTATCTCAACGATCAGTATCTGAAATACTGCCAGGCTGCATTTCAGGCAGTCTAATACACAAAATATTGTGGAGAAAATATTCATTCACCTTGATTCACTCACTCCGCCTGTTTGACATTTTCCTCTCTGGTCGAATAAACTAGTGATTTGGCGACAGGCAGTATCTGGTAATCTCTATTTATCTCGACGATCAGTGCCTGAAAAACTGCATTTCGGCAGTCTACTTTCGAAATTTTCGGGGGGTTATTTGAGGTCCGCAAGTCCATTCATTTGACACTTTCCTCTCTGGGGATAGACTAGTGATTGGACAACAGGCGGTATCAGATCAGCTCTATTTATCTCGATGATCGGTGCCAGAATACTGTCAGACAGCATTTCCAACAGTTTATTTTTTCAAAATTTTCTTGGGGAGGTCCCCAATACCCCCCACAAGGACTTGCTACTTTGACGCTCCCAAGGGGACTTTGTTATGGTTCGCAAGTCCGTTCGTTTGACACTTTGTTCTTTGCTCACATAAACTAGTGATGAGGTGACGGACAGATCTATTTATCTCGACGATCGGTGCTTGACTGAATACACAGACGGCATTTCCGGCAGTCTATATTTCAACATTTTCTGGGGGAGATCAGCCATACTCTCTGTAAGGACTCCCTACTTTGCGCTCATGAGTGAGCTTCGTGGATGTTTGCAAGTCCGTTTGTTTGAAACTTTATCTCCACGATCAGTGCCTGAAATACTGCCAGGCTGCATTTCCGGCAGCCTGTTTTTCAAAAATTTCTGGTGGAGGCCCCACTACCACTAGTCGAAGCTCATGCCTTTGCCCCCTTAACCTTGGACTTTGCCCTAGCTTTGCCCCTCCAACCACCGGCGGCTGGCGCCGCCACTGAATACCTTTCCAGTAAATTACCCCACTGAGCATCTGGGCTTACATGTGGGCAATACCCATCAAGTAACTTACCATACTGAGCATCTAGACCTACCTGTGGGCAATACCCACCAATAGTGTACCCTACTGAGCATCTAGACCTACCTGTGGGCAATACGCCTCAAGTAACTTACTCTACTGAGCATCTAGACCTACCCGTGGGCAATATGCCCCAGGCAGCTTACCCTACTGAGCGTCTAGACCTACCTATAGGTCATATCCCTCAAGTAACTTACCCCGCTGAACATACAATGTATATAACTAGCTGTAAGCAATATCCCCCAATTAACTTACCCTCCTGAACACCTAGACCTACCTTCAATATCCCTCAAGGTATTAAGCTTCTAGATCTACATTGCATCTACACCTACCTGTTGTCGAAATTCGCACGTAACTTGCCGTTCCTAGCTACCTACTCTCGATATCCGAAAGGGGAATGGCATAGTACAATACTTATGATTTCCCTTCATTTTTATGCCCAATTTATCTCTAGCAACGCGAATACATAAGCTCGTAAATCATACAGTTCTAATACAAAAACATTCAGAAACCTTGTATGTCGTAAGAAAAAAACAGATTTGGGGGTGAAAACCTCGTAAGTCCGAAATGAACAAACGTCAGCTTATATTTTACAGAACATCTAATAGGGGTTATTTCCAAATGTACAAAAAGAAAATGTCACGCAAATCCACCAAGTATCTGATAAGTTATTTGTTCCTCCTGTAAAATTTTGTTGGGCGGACTTACGAGGTTTTAGAATGACACCGACGATATTCTAATTCAGTCATGGATAGGTTTAGATCCATTTTAGACAACATCGAAGTACTCAAAGCGACAGAAGATGACTTCTTTAATAAATATTACTATTAGTAGGAATTCTGGTTCCCAAGTCAAATATGACGTCATACGGTGATTTTGTCTAATATAATGCAATTTGATTCACTATTGCATCACTATAGAACTGGTCCTATCCATACAACATGCTGACCCTTCGACCATTTGTGTGATGAGTTGGTTGGATGATGTCATCATTCCTATGATGTCAGAAATTGCTATGATGTTATAACTGACTTCCAGATATTTTGTCTTTAATTCTTCATACCTGAAGAAGTTAGTATTTGTACTGACGAAACGTTGGATAAAATAATGTTTGTGTTACCTGTTACTATTTATTGAAAGTTTCTCACATGAAAATATGGGTGTATAATAACATGGTATCCTTATCAAATATTTGTTAAACTGGTAGTACAGTTTAAGCTACAATATTCCCAATCCATGGTAAAAAATTTTGAAAATTTAATAAGGTACAGACTGGGAAACATCAGAATAAGGTCTCAAAATACAAGTTTTTAACCTACCTGAGGGTCTGTTGAAAGGACATGGAGACGGAAAAAATAACATGTATACAGCTCTCGAAAAACATAATATAACTTTATTGGTTCTTTATATAGATAACACAATGGTGATACTGTAAGAGAATTAAAACAAAACTTTACAGAGTACATTACATAATTAATGAAAAGACTTTAACTATAAGTTAAGAATATACAATCAGTTCTAAAAGGATAATATTGGTGTCAGTCATTATCACATATGTGATAGAACTGGTTAGACATGTTTCAAATATTTAACACAGAGATCATTGCTACGATAGATGTGTTATGAAGATTTCAAGAAAGGGAAGCGACGAACGCAAAAGAAAAATAGGAGTTATCCTTCTATATAGCTGACTGAAGTGACAAGTGTTAACAGATACACAGGCAAATTTCTGCTGACTAATAATTCCATCCATCACCAAAAGTTGTTATATGGGTGGGAGGATATCTGACATATCAAAAAAAATAATTGACTGTCACTAGATAAGAGAAAACGAGAAAAATAGAAACAGTCTGTGGATTACCATGTTTAAATTAAGTATAGAATGAAACAGCGAGTACCAGGCAAGGTACGCCCACATTTTGCAAGAGATGGATAGAGAACAAGCTAAAAACAAAAGCGATTTTTCGTACAATCAGGGGCCTTAATCCTGAAAGTTATGTTCTGAAATGTGCAATTATCAAAATGGACTGACATCTTTGGGATATAAAGATGTATTTTAAATTTCATCAAAATTGGATAAAAATTGTGATTACATACTTTTACACCATTTGTGTACAAAGAGCGGCCATTTGGACAAGCTGTTTCATTTCCATTTTCCTGAAATTCGAACTCAACCTTCATTAAGGTGGAATGGTGATATTTTTAAAATCGGATAAAATATTGTGACCTCTAAAGAATCCACAAGCTAAAAACACGATTTTTTGTACAATCAGGGCCCATGAATCGGGAAGTTACGATCTGATATGCGCGAATATCTAAAGGAACCAAGATCTTTGGGTTATAAACATGCATTTTAAGTTTTATCAAAAAACGGATCAAAATTGTGACCTCTAGAGGGTCCACAACCTCGATATACCAGATCTTTCTATTTGCATACGAAGGGCGGCCATTTTGTCTGGCAGTTTTGATCCGATTTTCACGAAATTCAATCTCAACTGACATTATGGTGTAACGGTGATATATGCTAATGATTTTTTAAATCAGATAATAATTGTGACCTCTAGAGGAACCACAAGCTAAAAACGTGATTTTTCGTACAACCAGGGGCCATAATTCAGGAAATTACAATCCATTATACGTGAATATCTAAACGAACCAAGATCTTTGGGTTAAAAACATGCATTTCAAGTTTCATCAAAATCAGAGGGTTAACAAACGTGATTTTTTGTGCAATCAGGGGATATAATCCATGAAGTTATGGTCTGATACATGCCAAAATCGAAAGGAACCGAGATCTTTGGGAGATAGACCTATATTTCAAGTTTCGTCAAAATCGGATAAAAATTGGGACAAACAAATTATCTAGTGACATTCAATTACTTTTTTGAATTATCAGATATGTCCTCTCACAGCCTCAAATAACAACTTTTGGTCTTCAAAGCAATTATTAGTCAGCAGAAATACACCCGTCTATCTGTTATCACGCGTCACTTCACTCAGTTATATAGAAGGATAACTTGTGTTTTCCTTTTGTGTTCGTCATTTCCCTTTCTTGAAATCTTCATAACGCATCTATTGTAGCAATGATCTCTATGTTAAAATTATATTTGGAACGTGTTTAACCAGTTCTATCACATATGTTATAATGACTCACACCAATACAGTTCTTTAACTATAATGTTGTGATGTTGTGTACATTTCTCTCTTACCACAAAACTTGGTAATTGCATGTTCAGTATGTTGAGATCACATTTGTTTTGTCTGCAAAGCACATAACATTATTATGAATTGACATGAATTTGCCAAAGTACTGAAAATGAGTCTTCCAACAATAATTAGACACAATTAGATTCAAATTTAACATTTATTTAGACATAACTAACACATTCTTCTTAGCATGGTTCAACTCCGTAAATCTTCTGTTTAATTAAAACCTGCCTTAGTGTTGAGTGATAATGAAAAACAAAATTATCGTGATAATAATTTACAAAATATCATGATAGCGATATTATCGTGGCAACTCTTTTCTTTTAAGTTAATATTTTAATTATGGCATGTTTTTTCACTTAAATAAAGTATGGACTTTTCTTGTACATTATAGCAAATAAATATCTTGTTATTTGGGCAGGTATCAGAGTTTTCATAACTAGCTACAACTGTTAGCATATTTTAGGAGAGTTTCTTATAGAGATGGATACATATTTTAGGAGAGTTTCTTATAGAGATGGATAAAGAAAAAAAAGAAGATTAAAGTAAGCTTATAACCCAATTTTCTTTCAGTGTACTTATTTGTTGGAGTTTTAAATTATGGGTTTATAGGTTGGGTTTAATTTAAGCTAATATAAATTAAAATTCGTATAAATGTTTTAGGTGGGGATTTTTTTTTTGTGTGGATCTGGAATTGTTATGTCTGGATTCTGGTGTGTTATTTTAGTGATGGTAATGCTTTAGTTTTTATATGGGTTTAGTCAGTTAATAATATTCAAAATTCCAATAGGCTGGATTGATTAGGTAATTAAGTGATCAATGTACTTATCGTATTATACCGCCTATACACCTATCTTGATTAATTAGTTAAACTGCCTTTATCCTTTATCGGACAACTCATCAATCAAATCCTGAACAGAAGTCATTGCTTCTCCTTTGTTGGACCAGGTATCAATCTTATAAGAGTGATTATAAACTCAATCTACGCGATTGACCCCTGATTTCTCCATTGTCGGACGTTTTAATCTCCTTGATGTCGGCCAACACCACGTAGAAATTACTCATATAGTATATAACACCCAAAATCAATATACATTGCATCCGATAACTTGTCTGCGATATCACATCTTCCTTTGATGTTGGCATATCATTATTTATACTAGTTAAAATTTGGACCCGTATGATGTATTTCATTGCAAAGCACATGCAAGTGTCTGTATTTTAATTTGTTTAATGGTCTCGATCTCAAGACATTAAGTGATATATTGAAACAACAACTCGTGACTAATGTCACTTGTGTTGTTTCAATATATCACTTAATGTCTCGCTCTCGACCATTAAACAACACCTATTTTACACACACACACAAACATCCGAAAAATACTAGGCAATGCAAGCTCTGTTTCTGATCGCACATGGTTATAGTACATTAACTGAAACTGAAGTAGAAATCTCGCCGACGCATGAAATTATCAAATGAATATGTGACAAATTTCACACGTCTAATGTCGGAAAAAAGATTCTGTTTTGATGGCATATTCTCGAATTTATGATCACATTTTGAATAGGGTTTATGTTTTTAAATAAAGAAATAAGTACTCTAGGAAATGTTGACGAATACGTCTATTGAAATAGAGTAAGTAGTTAATTATTTAGCAGATGGTGTCACTTGCTCGTTGTGGTAGAGCATCGTTTACTGCCAAATAAATTTCGGGATGACATTTTTTTAACTTCCGTATATAAGTCCAAACGGAGTATAAGATGAATATATTTCGGAATGACATTTTTTAAACTTCCGTATATAAGTCGAAACAGAGTATAAGATGAATGCCGGACTTCTGCTGAAAAATGTATCAACTTATGACCCGAAAAATACGGTATTTTTGGAGGAATTTGAAACAGGTACGGGTCGGCAGTAGTCGTCACGCTTTCATTTTATCGTATTGCGACTTCACATAATTTTGTAGGAATATTACTGAAATAAATTCCCGTACGGGAATTAAATATGAAAAACAACGAGGTGCATCTATTTTTTTATTACGTAAGAATTTTAATATTTTGTTGACAAGTGATTTTTGTGTGTGGTCTAAAACTGTCTGCTTAAATAACAATAAGAGTTATACCCCTTTATTTCCTGTAAAAATGTCCAATAAGAAAAATTTTGAAATCCCATCACTGGGTTTAGTTCTTTGCTGGTATAGTTGAAAGGATAACTCGTTGAAATCTTTCAGTTCTAAAGGTTGTCTCTTTCTGAAAAGGTTGTTTATCAGGTGATCTGTGATTCTTCATCTTGGTTGGTTATTCGTAACTTTAGCAGGGAAAAAACTTAATTACATGCATGCATCTGTACCACATGTTACAGATTTCAGTAGGTCTCAGCGCTGCTCTTTTCCACAAATGGGGCAAGCATAAAATATGATTGTGTGTCTGTAGCTATATGTAATATCATCATAATTTGTGTTTTATGGTTTTTATGGTATATGACATAGAAGATTATGATATCTGATTATGTGGCTATATGTAATATCATCATAATTTGTGTTTTATGGTTTTTATGGTATATGACATAGAAGATTATGATATCTGATTATGTGTTTACAAGTTTTACTAAATCATTAAATATATATACTATACTGTATCTGTATCATGTTTTTGTGGATTATATAAACTTATTTAAAACCCTTTCTCTTGTTTTCAAGACTATTGTCCTGTACTACGCAGATTTTTCTCACTAATTTACCACACCATTGCAGATTATTGAAGGGGTAGGTCTGAAACATGTATCTTCAGCCTCCAGACTTAAAAGTCTGAAATTAATCACAAAAATTTGAATAACATCTTAGGCTTGGCACAAAATCAACAAAACAACTGACAGTTTTGGTTTTAGATTTGACACAATTGATGGATGCAGTCTACTTTTTTCAAGATCTGATTGTTACATACATGTACCAACCAGAGACTGCCAGACAGGATACGGCCACAAATTTGCAAGAGATGGATAGAGAACAAGCTAAAAACAAACAGGATTTTTTGTACAATCAGGGGCAATAATCCAGAAAATTATGGTCTGAAATGCGCAAAAATCAAAGGGACTAAGATCTTTGGGATAAAAAGATATGATTTTAAGTTTCATCAGAATCCGACAAAAATTGTAACCTCTAGAGGGTCGACAACCTTCGTATTGCATACTTTTACACAATTTGCGTACAAAGAGCGGCCATTTTGTTGCCATTTTCGAACAATCAGGGGCCATAATCCAGGAAGTTAAGTTCGGGTATCCGCGATTATCAAAAGGATTCATGATCTTGGTGTGTAATGGTTATTAACTTACATTTCAAGTTTCATCAAAGTCAAGAGAAAATTGTGACCTCTAGAGGGTCCACAACATTGATATACCATATTTTTACACTATTTGAGTACGAGGGGCGGCCATTTTGTCTGTCGGTTTTAATCCAATATTTACGAAATTCAAACTGAACTATCCTTAGGGTGTAATGGTGATATATTTGAAGCCAAAAACGTGATTTTTCGTACAATCAGGGGCCATAATGCAGGAAGTTACGGTCAGATATGCGCAAATATCGACATATCGACAGGAAACAAGATCTTTAGGTTATAAACTTACATTTCAAGTTTCAACAAAATCGGATAAAAATTGTCACCTCTATAGGGTCCACAACCTTGATACACCACATTTTTACGCTATTTGAGAACGAGGGGCAGCCATTTTGTAATGTAACGGTGATATATTAAAACGATTTTTTAAACCGGATAAAAATTATGACCTTTATAGGGTCCACAAGCTAAAAACGCAATTTTTCGTACAATCAGGGGCCATAATTCAGGAAGTTACGGTCCGATATGCGCGAATATCGAACGGAACCTAGATCTTTGGGTTATAAACTTACATTTCAAGTTTCATCAAAATAGGATTAAAATTGTGACCTCTTTAGTGTCCACAACCTTGATATACCATATTTTTACGCTATTTGAGAACGAAGGACGGCCATTTTGTTTGTCAGTTTTCAGCTGATTTTTATGACATTCGAACTCAGACGTCCTTAGGGTGTAGCGGTGATATAATAATACGTTTTTTTAAATCGGATAAAAATTATGACCATATTTTTACGCTATTTGAGAACGAAGGACGGCCATTTTGTTTGTCAGTTTTCAGCTGATTTTTATGACATTCGAACTCAGACGTCCTTAGGGTGTAGCGGTGATATAATAATACGTTTTTTTAAATCGGATAAAAATTATGACCTCTATAGGGTTCACAAGCTAAAAACGTGATTTTTCGTACAATCAGGGGCCATAATTCAGGAAGTTACGGTCCGATATGCGCGAATATCTAAAGGAACCGAGATCTTAGGGTTATAAATTCACATTTCAAGTTTCATCAAAATAGGATTCAAATTGTGACCTCTATAGGGTCCACAAGCTAAAAACGTGATTTTTCGTACAAACAGGGGCCATTATCCATGAAGTTTCGATCTGATACATGCCAATATCGTAAGCAACCAAGATCTTTTGGAGATAAAACTATATTTTGAGTTTCGTCAAAATCGGATAAGAATTGTGACCTGTAGAGTGTCCACAAACAAATTGTGGACAGACGAACTGGGGCGATGACAATATACGTCCACATGAAAATGTGGGCGTATAAAAAGAGGTTTGCACACATAAATACTTATTGGATAGTCTGGATCATCTTTGTAAGAAGATGGAGTGATCTTTCACCAATCCATGGATCACTCTCAGAATCTTGTTATGATAAGAAGAGATAATGATCTTCTTCCTTTTCAAAGGTTTTCCTCCATTGAATCTTACATTTGCATCACTGACTCCAGTTCCATTACTTTTTTTTTTAATCTTCCTCATGTCTCTCCACAGTTGCTATTTCTGTAAACACTTTTGCTTCCTCTTTTAAATACTCCAGTACTTTTATTGCCACCTCACGGCTCAGGCATTTCTTTTTAAATCGAGTGTCTATATAAAACATGCTATTAAAAAAAAGTAAAGTCAATGCCCAAAACACTGCACTCATGCTTTAACAACATTTGCACCATTGTCAGAAATGATACAGGTTTGCTAACTTTCTCTCAATTTTCCATTAAAAATAAAATCTGTTAAATCTCTAGCCTCTGTTGTTTTCACAAGGTTTTCATTTTCATAAGATTTTCGCAAAGCGCGGTGGGGGTGTGGGGGAAAAACTGCATGATCTAAGGTCAGAGAATGCAGATTGTCCATAGGGTCCTTTCCCGACAGAGAAGGATGAAATGAAACCATTAAAAACTGTATTCTTTATTTTGCTCACAAGGTTTTCAAACTTCAGAATAGAAAGTTGCAAAACACTGAGTAGATCGATAGTGCTTGTCATCCCAATGCAACAGACAAATTTTGAAAAAAATTTGTTGAAACTTTAGATAACTCTGGAGTGGAAAGCAGATCATCTTCTATATGGTTCATCCCTGACAGACGGATCATCAAAGATATGAAAATCAACAGGAGTCATGCTTCCTATTCATCACACAGAGAGCCCATAAACTTGGTTACATATTTTGTGATCTTTAAAATAATCCAAAGTTTCCAAAATCGGACAAAAATTGTAATCTCTTAGATGGCCCACAACATTGGTATATGTAATACATGCTTTGCCACTATTTGCGTAAAGGGAAGGAACAATTTTTGATAGGAAGCTATGAACCAATTTCCACTCAACAAAGATGTGTAATAAACAAACATAAAATGGTCTATGTAGGTGACTTTAGTACAATCTGGGACAATACAGTCCGATATTTGGCAAAATCAAACCTATACCTATATTCGAGTGTTTACAAGAAATTGTGGATGAAAGGCAAGAAGGACAGCAATGTGGGTGCTTAAAAAAATTTTGTTACATATATTTTAATGTTTTTCTTGCATATACTTTAATGTTTTTCTTGCATATACCTTAATGTTTTTGTTGCATTTATTTTAATGTTTTTGAGTATGATAAAGTAGGATAAGATGTGTAACATTTTTGGTTTTAGGACGTCAAAAAGACTGATTTGGTCTTGTGATACTTAAAGGTATTATAATTTGATTCTGATCTATTTCCAATGTGAGAATCATCATCTATATATGCTACTTCAGGGCTATATAAACTTACCATACATTGCAAATCCATGGAATGGAATTACCCCACTTGGTGGATAATATACTTCAAACTGTTCCAAACCAACTTTTCCTCGAATATAAGATCTTGCAGGGGTTGCAGTTGAATTCTCTAATAAATTTCTCAGTACAACAGTGTCTCGTGAAAAAGGCAAGAGAATCTAAAGATTTAAATAACAAAAACAAAGATAGTTTGCAGGCAATGAAACAAACAGCTGATTCGTCCAAAAAGTTCAATAAAGTTATCGCATATTAATTTTTTTGTAGATATAGTAATGGAGGCATTTACAAGACATTAATCAAGAGTAATTAACCATGATCAAGAGTAACCGCTAATAATCAAGAGTAACCACTCATGATCAAGAGTAACCACCTATGATCAAGAGAAACCACCAATGATCAAGAATAATCAACCATGATCAAGAGTAACCACCAATGATCAAGAGAAATGACCAATGATCAAGAATAATCAACCATGATCAAGAGTAACCACCAATAAACAAGAGTAACCACCCATGATCAAGAGTAATCAATCATGATCAAGATTAACCAACCATGATCAATATTAATCACCTATGAATAAATTATCAGAAATAATTTAGACAGTCCACACAGCAGTTCTGTCTAATTGTCAGGCTTTTATGGACAAATGATATATCTTTTGAACAGAAAGTCCTAGAATCATCTGGGTTTTCATCCTCTCAATGCTTCACAGCAAATTTGAAAAAAATAGGGACAGTCTCAGTTATTTGTGTGAAAAGCCCTTTAAAACCTGTAACTAAGACCTAGGCCACTACCTCAAGCTATGTGATGTGTTTTTTTAAAAAAAAATAAAAAACAACATTTGATCTTATTTTGTGACTGAACTCACCATTTTGCTAAATCTGGATATTTTAGACCTAAACACCATCAAAATTGGGCATGGAAACAAAATTCACAGAAGTATAGATTTGAGTGTGTTGTGTCTCTGATACGGGAAAAAAAGTGTTCATTATCAATGCTTCTTTCATTGAACATGTGACTAGTGGACACAAAGGACTTGTGGTACATGTAAGTTTTTTTTCTATCTTCATATAATTTTGAATCAAACTAAAAACTACCCCTAATATATATCTTTTGATGACAGATAATAATGAGGGGTCAGATTTTTAAAACCTCTTCCTCTCATTGCCCCAATGCTTCACATGAAATGAAAAAAAAAAACAGGCAGGATAAGCCCACATTTTGCAAGAGATGGATAGAGAACAAGCTAAAAACAAACAGGATTTTTTGTACAATCAGGGGCAATAATCCAGAAAGTTATGGTCTGAAAAACGCAAATATCAAAAGGGACTGAGATGTTTGAGATATAAAGATATGATTTAAGTTTCATCAAAATCGGATAAAAATTGTAACCTCTAGAGGGTCCACAACCTTCGTATTGCATACTTTTACACAATTTGAGTACAAAGAGAGGCCATTTTGTAGGGCAGTTTCATTTCGATTTTCCTGAAATTCAACCTTCATTACGGTGGAATGGTGATATATTTAAACGTTTTTTAAAATCTGAACTCAATCAAAATTACAGTGCAATGGTGATATATTTGAACGTTTTTTTTTTTAAATCGGATAATAATTGTGACCTCTAGAGGGTCCTGAAGCTAAAAACGTGATTTTTCGTACAATCAGGGGCCATAATTCAGGAAGTTACGATCCAATATGTGTGAATATCAAAAGGAACCAAGATCATTGGGGAATAAACTTACATTTCAAGTTTCATCAAAATCAGAAGAAAATTGTGACCTCTAGGGGGTCCACAACATTGATATACCATATTTTTACGAAATTCGAACTCAACCATCCTAAGGGTGTAACAGTGATATATTCAAATGTTTTTTTTAAATCGGATAAAGATTATGATCTCTATAGGGTCAACAAGCTAAAAAGATAGGTTGCCAGGCAACGAAACATACGCCCACAGCAGCTAAATCGTCCGGGGAGTCAACAAGAGTTGTCGCATATTTTTACTTTTTTCGGTAATTAAACATTTATAATACATTAAAATCTGATAAAGAGTAACAACTAATTAAGTAATTATCAGAAAACCATTAGAATTTGTTTGGTTTTTATAAAGTTCTGCCCCATGCTAATGTTTAGTATAGAAAACTTTTAACATCATGGATTTAGTTGTTCAAGTCATAAAAATTCATTGAAAATCAATATACTTGTTCATCTCAAGACCTTAAACTCTGTGTATCAATCTGAAGTCAATCAGATGATAACTTTAGCCTCTAGAGCGTCAGAAGGTTTTTCAAAGTGATCAAGGGCCATAACTCTGGCAGTACTTATCAGAAATCACCGAAATTCAATAGGCTTCTTCGTCTCATGACATTAAACACTGTGTATAAATTTAAAGTCAATCGGATATTAACTTTAGCCTCTAGAGCGTCCACAAGATTTTTCAAAGTGATCAAGGGCCATAACTCTGGCAGAACTTATCAGAAATCGCCGAAAATCAATAGGCTTCTTCGTCTCATGACATTAAACACTGTGTATAAATTTAAAGTCAATCGGATATTAACTTTAGCTTCTAGAGCGTCCACAAGATTTTTCAAAGGGATCAAGGGCCATAACTCTGGCAGTAATTATCGGAAATCGCTAAAAATCAATAGGCTTCTTCGTCTCATGACATTAAACACTGTGTATAAATTTAAAGTCAATCAGATATTAACTTTGGCTTCTAGAGCGTCCACAAGATTTTTCAAAGTGATCAAGGACCATAACTCTGGCAGTAATTATCTGAAATTGCTGAAAATCAATAGGCTTCTTCGTCTCATGACCTTAAACACTGTGTATAAATTTAAAGTAAATCGGATATTAACTTTAGCCTCTAGATCGTCCACAAGATTTTTTGAAGTGATCAAGGGCCATAACTCTGGCAGTAATTATCAGAGATCGCTGAAAATCAATAGGATTCTTCGTCTCATGACCTTAAACACTGTGTATAAATTTAAAGTCAATCGGATATTAACTTTAGCCTCTAAAGCGTCCACAAGATTTTTTGAAGTGATCAAGGGCCATAACTCTGACAGTAATTATTGGAAATCGCTGAAAATCAATAGGCTTCTTCGTCTCATGGTCTTAAACACTGTATATAAATTTAAAGTCAATCGGATATTAACTTTAGCCTCTAGAGCGTCCACAAGATTTTTTGAAGTGATCAAGGGCCATAACTCTGGCAGTAATTATCGGAAATTGCTGAAAATCAATAGGCTTCTTTGTCTCATGACCTTAAACACTGTGTATAAATTTAAAGTCAATCGGATATTAACTTTAGCCTCTAGAGCGTCCACAAGCAATTGTGGACGCCGGACGGACGGGGGTGACGACAATATACGACCACATTTCAATGTGGGCGTATAAACAACATTTTTCGTACATTCAGGGGCCATAAATCAGGAAATTACGGTCCGATATACACAAATATCGAAAGGAACCAAGATCTTTGGGTAATAAACTTACATTTCAAGTTTCATCAAAATCAGAAGAAAATTGTGACCTCTAGAGGGCCACAACATTGATATACTATATTTTTACGCTATTTGAATACGAGGGGCGGCCATTTTGTCTGTCAGTTTTGGTCTGATTTTTACGAAATTCAAACTCAACCATCCTTAGGGTGTAAAGGTGATATATTCAAACGTTTTTTTAAATCGGAAAATAATTATGGCTTCTATAGGGTCCATAAGCTAAAAACGTGATTTTTCGTACAATCAGGGTCCATAATTCAGGAAGTTACAATCCGATATGCACAAATATCAAAAGGAACCAGGATTTTTGGGTTTTAAACTTTCAACAAAATCGGATAAATATTGTGACCTTTATAGGGTCCACAAGCTAAAATCGGGGGCCATAATCCATGAAGTTACGGTCTGATACATGCCAAGTTCGAAAGGAACCAAGATCTTAGGGAGATAAATCTATATTTCAAGTTTCGTTGAAATCGGATAAAAATTGTGACCTGTAGAGTGTCCACAAACAATTGTGGACAGACAGACAGACGAACCCATTTTAATAGTCTCCTGCTTTCTTCGAAAGGCGGGGGACAATGAACAATTACCAAAATATCATATAGGGTCCACAAGCTAAAAACGTGATTTTTTGTACAAACATAATCCATGAAGTTACGGTTCGTTTCATTCCACAATTTTTTTTCTGATTTTGATGAAACTTGATGTATGTTTTTAACCCAATGATCTCAGTTCCTGGACTATAGCCCCTGATTGTTCGAAAAATCATGTTTTCATTTGATTTTAAAAATTGTTAAAAAATGTAACTGTTACATTGTAATGACGGTAGGGTTTGAATTTCCATAAAAATCAGACTGAAACTGCCAGATAATATAGTTGCTCCCTTAACGCAAATAGTGTGAAAGTATGTAATACCAAGGGTGTGGACCCTCTAGAGGTCACAATTTTTATCCGATTTCAATGAAACTGTAAATTTATGTTTATATCCCCAAGATCTTGGTTCCTTTTGATATTAACCCATATCGGATGGTAACTTCTTAGATTATGGCCCCTGATTGTATGAACCAGTGGTTGCGAAACTGTAAATTTATGTTTATATCCCCAAGATCTTGGTTCCTTTTGATATTAACCCATATCGGATGGTAACTTCTTAGATTATGGCCCCTGATTGTATGAACCAGTGGTTGCCAGGCAAGATATGCCCACATTTTGCAAGTGATGGATAGAGAACAAGCTAAAAACAAAAGCATTTTTCGTACAATCAGGGGCCATAATACAGAAAGTTATGGTCTGAAATGCACAAATATCGAACAGACATGAGATCTTTGGGATATAAATATATATTTGAAATTTCATCAATATCGGATAACCTTGGAATAATTTACTTTACATTAATAGCGGCCATTTTGTTGGGCAGTTTAATTTTGATTTTCCCGAAATTTGAATTCAACTTTCATTGAGTTGGAATGGTGATATATTTAAACGGTTTTCAAAATCGGATAAAATTTGTGACATCTAGAAAATCCACAAGCTAAAAAACATGATTTTTCGAAAAAATCAGGGGCCATAATCCAGGAACTTACTGTCTGATATTCACAATTTTGGAAAGAAACCAAGATTTTGGGGTTATAAACATACATTTTTAAAAATCAGATAAACATTGTGACCTATAGAGGGTCCACAATCACGATTTTTGCATACAATCAAGGGCCATAATCAAGAAACTGTAGGTCCAATATGTGCGAATATTGAAAGGAACAGAGATCTTTGGGACATAAACACATGTTTTAAGTTTCATCAAAATCGGATCAAAAGTGCGACATCTAAAGGGTCCACAACCTGAGAGGGAGAGAGAGAGAAATGGGGTTTAACGTGCACTCAACACAAACTAGGTCATTTCGGGACTAAAATATGGTTTAATTTTATTTCAATAATTCGCTTGCGCATAGGGGTCTTTAGCAGTGGGAGGAAACCGGAAGACCCAGAGAAAACCCACGAGGTTGGACAGGCAACCCTACTCCTTGTCACAGTTGACTCAATGACAGGCCTTATGGTACAGCGCGGACCTGCTAACCATCCGGCCATCCAACACACCCCCCCCCCCCCCCGGCCCCGGTCCACAACCTTGATATTACATACTTTAACAATATTTGCATACATAGAGCAGCCATTTTGTCCGGCAGTTTTGGTACGATTTTCACGAAATTCGAACTTAATCATCATTATGGTGTAACAGTGATATATTTAAATGTATTTTTAAACAAGGGACCACAAGCTAAAATCAGAAAATCAAGAACCATAATCCAGGAAGTTGCGGTCTCTATGCGAATATATCGACAGGAACCAAGATCCTTGGGTAATAAACAAACATTTCAAGTTTCAACTAAATTGGATAAAAATTGAGACCTCTAGAGTGTCCACAAGCCAAAAACGTGATTTTTCGTACATTCAGGGGCCATAATCTATGAAGTTTTGATCCGATCATGCCAATATCGAAAGGAACGAAATCTTTTGGCGATAACCTATTTTTTAAGTTTCGTCAAATTCGGATAAGAATTGCGACCTCTAGAGGGTCCACAACCATGGTACAGTATTACATACTTTACACTATTTGCGTACAAATTCGAATTCAACCATCACTAGGCTGTAACAGTGATATCTTTAAAAGGTTTTTAAAGTCGGATAAAAATTGTGACCTGAAGAGAATCCACAAGCTAAAAAAGTGACTTTTATACAATCAGGGGCTATAATCCAGGAAGTAACGGTACGATATGCGCAAAGGAACCAAGATCTTTTGATTATAATCATACATTTCAAGTTTCATGAAAATCAGATAAAGTGTCCAAACCTTTGTATTACATACTTTTACACTATTTGCGTACAAGGAGTGGCCATTTTGTACATCAATTTTTACGAAATTCAACCTCAACCTTCATTGATGTGTAACAATGATATATTTAAACATTTTTTTAAAATTGAATTCAAATTGTGATTTCTAGTGGGTCCACAAACTAAACAATGCGATTTTGAGAACAATCAGGAGCCAAAATCCAGAAAGTTATGTCCGGATAAGTGCGATTAATGAAAGGAACCAAGATCTTTATGTTATAAACATAAATTTATAATATTCAGTAAAATCGAATCAAAATTGTGGCAGTTTTGGTCTGATTTTCACTATATTCGAATGATTGTTTAAATCGGATAGTTATTGTGACTTTTAGAGGGACCACAAGCTAAAAACTTGATTTTTCATACAATCAGGGGCGATAATTCAGGAAGTTACGATCTGATATGTGCGAATATCGACAATTACCAAGGTCTTTGGGTTATAAATATGCATTTCAAATATCATCAAAGCAGATGAAAATTGTGACCCTTAGAGTGGCTCAAGACATTAAACTCTGTGATAACTTCGGCCTGTATAGCATCCACAAGACTTTTTGAAGTTTTCAATGGCCATAACTGTATCAGAAATCCTTGAAAATCGATGTCTTCGTCTCATGACCTTCAAAACAGCGAAGTCAATCGGGTATCAACTTTAGCCTCTAGAGCATTCACCAAATATTTCAAAATGATCAAGGGCCATAACTCTGATAGTAAGTATGGCAAATTGTTGAAAATCAATAGCTGTTTTGGTCTCATGATCTTAAACACTGTGTAAAAATTTAAAGTGAATCGGATGCTTGTGGACACCAGACAGAACTTAAACTTTCATGCTCAAGACCAAGACAAAGTCTTGCCATTTAGACCCACTTCCCACATGGCTACTTATAAAAGACAGCTTGGTTGCTTTCGTACCAATTGTAGGAACCAAGGTGGCTCAGTGTGTGAAATGTTGGCTCGCTAACCTGGAGGTCCTGTGGCCGAGAAACAAGGGACAGCATATAGTCATTCTGATGGTCCCGTGTACACACTGATGTACATATAAAAGAACCCTTGACAGTTGGAATTCAAATTAAGAGTAGACCATAGCGCCACTGTACGGGCAAATTTTCCTTCATAGCATATTGTATGGAGTATACCCGTCTTCATCAGACCATTCGGTACAGAAAAGTAGAACCCCAATTCATTTTCTATTAACTGTTGTGAACAAGTCGCGTCTGCACGGTGTATTTTTAAGTGCCCTCAAGTAAGCCATAATCACACCTATTATTGAAAAACTATCCTTTATGCCAATTCGCTAAAGAACTACAGGCCTTTGAGTAGCCTGAGCTACACATGAAAACTCATCAAGAAGGGTGTGCTACAACATCTTAACGTGTATATTAGTGAAAGTACTTTTTATAATATTCACCAGACAACTTAATGCAATAGCCCAGAGATATGGACTTACTGTCCACTTGATTGCAGATGATATACAGTTATTCATCAGCTTTGATCATTCATCAGAAATGGCAACTATACAGAATGTTAAGATGAACAAGTTATTATTAGTTATTCCTCCTGTCAAACTCTAAAAGACGAAACGTTCTTTTTACTTTGCAGCACCCTTTCTCTGGAATTATCTATCCTTAGACATAAAAGAATCAAAAAGTCTAGACTTCTTCATAAATATAAAAGAATGTTGATTGATTGGGCAATTGTTTACATGCAAGATCGCAGGAAGGTGCCATTTCATAATGGAGTCTTAACAGAAATAGTTCATTATGGAAAATAAGTTAACTACCTGTAATAATAGAGAGCACAATATAGGTAGATACATTTTTCGTATGTACAGAATGGATGTGAACGGAAAATGATTAAAATTTTGTGTGATGGCAAAATTCTAACAAAGGTAAATGGTTAGAGACAAATGATTACGATCGACATCGTTTACTATTATCTTAGCTATTTGAACTGAAAAGCCAAAAGATAAATCTCAATACTTACTTGATAAAGAAAATCTTCAAAAACAAAATAATGATCATCATTTGTTGCTGTTAATTTCACATCCTGAAAAGAAAAGCCTTTAGTAAGGAATAGGATTACACTGAATTAACTTTTACAAAGATTAAATGAATGTAGGTCGGGATTTGGAGTTCGTACAATACTAAATATCGATTTGTTGTGTCCGCTCATTACTCCAATGCTTCATACCAAATTGGAAGACAGCCAAGTAAAGCATGGAAATATGCCCACACAGCAGTTATATCTCAAGTGCAGATTATCTGAAAGGAGATTAAAATATAAATAGGGTTTATCTTTTCATGACCAACTCTTCAGAGCAAACTTGAAAAAAATCTATTATAAACTGTAGCCTCTATCACACAATATTTTGGTGTTTCGTGAAGAGGGGTAGCTGGGATCAGTCTGGAAAAAAAGGTTGTGGAAGGCTGAATATCAATATTAAGGTTCGTCTCTCAAAACCTCAATGCTTCACACCAAATCTGAAAAAAAATCTGTTAACAAGGTTTTAGAACAACGGAGGATAACTTAGAACGGAAGGTTGCAGAGTCCTGAGAATCGATAGGGTTCGTCTTCTCATGACCCCAACTCTCTAAAACAAATTTGGTCAAATGTCTGTTATAAAACGTAACCTCTATTGTGTTAACAAGGGCGGATATCTCGCAAAACCAATGCTTCACATCAAATTAGAAAAAATCTGTCACAAACTATAGCCTCTATCGGGATAACAAGGGAAATAACTCTTGATCATCCTCTTAAGATTTGCAATCATCACACCGAATTTGAAAGAAATCCGTCAAAAATGTGAAAATGCTCATTATTAAAGTTAGTCAAGGTACGTATTGATGTGATGAAACTATACACCAAGTTTTATCACTCTCACATAATTAAAACCAAAGTTATCGTGCTCATATTCGAGCTCCACCAAGACATTCACCTAATAAACACGTACACCAAGTTTGAACATTCTACCTCAAGTTATTGTGCTCCAGATTCTCAACCAATCAAATTGCTTATCGCTCTGCTTACCCTAAGCAGAAAATGTTCATTATCGATCATATTCAAGGTATTATTGTAATGAAACTTTACATACACTAAGTTTCGTGACTTTCATTTAATTTGAACTGAAGTTATTGTGTCCCAAAGCATCAACTTATCAAATTGCTTATCTCTGCTAATCCTAAGCAGAAAACACTCTTCGAACTCCATCAAGGCATTCACTCAATAAACCTGTGTACACCAAGTTTGAACAGAGGAAAATTATTGTGTCCCAAAAAGTGTGACAGACAGATGGACGAACAGACCCATTTTATATTAGTAACCAGTTTTCTTTAAGAGACGAGTGACAATTACTTTGTTCTGAGGTAAGTTATCAGTGTTGAAAGATGTAGCGTAGATTGTTTATTACCGTAGCAACTGTACTGGACAAACAAGACTAAGTCTCGTTTATCTATTTTATCGTCAAACTTATAAATCTTGTGGGTGTTTTAATCCATTTAAATCTCAGACATCTGCTGGTCTAGAGAATTAAATCAAATTCATTCACCATTATTGTGTAATGAACATACATTTGAATGGTAGTTAAAATTGAATAAAAATTGTGACCTATACATGGTTCACAAGCTATGTACGTGATTTATTGTACAATCATGGGCAATGACCCAGGAAGTTACTGTCAGATAGAAAATCTTTGGGATATAGTAATATCTTCAAGATAGAAATGAAATGAAATGGGGTTTAATGCTTACTGTTCTGCACTGACTGGGCTAATGAAAACGGGCATACACCATAGGCCTACAAGCTATGAGGGAAATTTTGCTCGGCAGCGACACTATGGCCTGCTTTTATATCGAATTCAAACTGCCAAGGGATCTTTTACATGCATGCCAATGTATACACAGAACCTCAGTTTTTCATTCCATCCAAATGACTAGACAGCTGTCCGTGTCAGGCCCTCCGCACTGTACCACTGACAAGGGGAAAGCACGTTGGAATATCTCAATGAACTTTCCCGGTCAATGCAGGGATCCAACACACGACCTCCAGGCTAGCAATCGGAATATAACTTTAACTGTTTATTTATGAACATAAACATGATGTGTAAAAATAAAGTAATATGAAGAAATCATTTTATAATCTTGTGTATCTGAAAGGTTGTTCAAAGCCATCAATGGCAATAACTTTGGCAGTCATTATCCAAAATCGATGAAAATAGGCTTCTTTGTCACAACACTATAAACACTATGTCAATCAAATGATCACTTAAGCCTCTAGAGTGTCCAACATATTTTTCAAATTTATTAAGGACCATAACTCTGGCTGTAATTATCAGATTTCTTCGCCTCATGACCATAAGCACTATGTACAAATTTAAAGTCAATCAAATGATAACTTTAGATAGCTAAAGTCTCCACAAGCAATCGTGGATGACTGAAGGGTGTAACAACAATATATGATAACATTTTAATTTGACTGTGTGAACAAGCCAACAGTGAGGCTGATGTCCCCCGCCGAAATCCCAAAATAAACAGATGACAAATATTAATTAATTCCACAATTATTTTTATGCTTAATCTAAGCATAAAATGTTCACAGTCAAACTTGGAAGTACCTGGTAGTGAAACTATACTCTAAGTTTCATCACTCCCCATGAATTAGAATCAAAGTTATCTTATCCCAAAGCATCAACCAATGAAATTGCTTAGCTCTGCTTAGCTTTAACGGGAAATATTAGCCTATCGCTACTTAGCCTAAGCAGAAAATTCTCATCATCGAACTTAGTCAATGCATTGATATCATGAATCTATACTCAGAGTTTCATTGCTCTCACTCAATTAGAACCAAAGTTATCGAGTTCCAAAGTCTCAACCAATCAAATTGCTTATCTCTGTGTAGCTTAAGTGAAAAATGTGCACGATCGATCAAAGTCTGTCAAGGCATTCACCTAATATAGACACCTACACCAATTTTGAACATTCTACCTCATTTAGGAGAGTTATTGTGTTCCAAAGTCTCAACCATTCAGATTGAAGTCTCTACTTTGCATAAGCAGAAAATGCTCAGCATCAAACTTTGTTAAGGTATTGATGTAATGAAACTATACACAAAGTTTTACCACTATCACTCAATTAGAATCAAAGTTGTCCAGCTCCAAAGTCTCGAACAATCAAATTGCTTATCACTCTGCTTACCCTAAGCAGAAAACGCTTATTATTTGAACTTTGTCAAGGGATTGATGTAATGAAATTATACACCAAGTTTCATCACTCTCACTTAATTAGAACTAAAGTTATTGTGTCCCAAAGCATCAAACAATCAAATTGCTTATCTCTGCTATCTCTGCTTACCCTAAGCAGAAAATGCTCATCTTCGAGCTCTACCGCAATTAAAAGGAAGTAATAAAATACATCAGGCAACAGATTGTTAAATGTAATAAAGACTTACTTTATATAGTAAATTATCAATTAACAGTTCATGTTGAAGAACGTTTGACTTTAGTTTCTCATAATATAAAATATCCTGGAAAAAAAACAGGAAAAGTATTTAGAAAATAAAACAAGATGCAAATAGACAGGATACAGTTATATTGAATATTGGGTAATCTGATTCTACCATCTTGTATGAGATAAATATTACCCTCATTGAGGGTTGATATGAGAAATAGCCTAATTGGCCCTGCGACTGGTATGACAAAATTAAGAAAACAAATTGTAAGTTGCACGTGCATTACATTTTAGTAACCATGGGTTCACAAACTTTCATTCATTTTGTACAATGGTGTCAAACAATTCGGATGACAAAAATGAAAAAATCTGAGCTACTCAGTTCATAGAAAATATGGTTGAAAAAGAAAATGTAGATTCTGACAAAGAATTATTTAAAGGAGATAAAACGATAACATTTAGGGACCTAGAAATTGACAAAAGTGGATCGCAACGCATATAATACTGTAGTATGAATGTATATAAACTGATTTACATTCAATGGTTTCCATTTTTACTCCAATTTCAAATCAGTTATGTTCGGCGAAATAAGCCAGCAGTCTCAAGCGAGTGCAAATTTCTAGTGTCTGGTTATTCCAGTCTACATACGCCGTTTGATTTAGTGCAATGTGTCTAGCCTCGTCCCTCGAGTCTCTTGATACAACTGGGGCTGAAGCGCATTATGGTACACGATTCGTGTACCAATGGTAAAATGTTTATTTTGTCTTAAATATTGGATATCAAAAGCCTATCTTTTTCTGGTAAGATCACAACATGAATGTTGATTTAATTTGACAAATAAATCGTGTTTTCAATGTTGAAGATTTTGGATGATATTGAGTTAGAGACTTAGCTACTTTAAAGCTAGTCAATGTGCAGTATTTATGCAGAATATATTTAACAAGGATTTAATGTACTTGGATATTTCGGATTGTGAGATAAAAATGATAAATGCTTTTCAATTTCGAGTAACAAGATGTCAGTGAATGTCCCAACAATGCCGTGCCCATAAATACCTTATGCAGAAATCAGTGGGCTGTGAACTCTTTTAACAGTTGGTCAGTGTGGCAGAATAACAAACACGATAGTCAACGAAAAATCCTGTAAATATGAGTATATAAGATCTTATTTTTTGGATATCTAGATTCATCTTGGAAGTAAGCAAAATAAAATGATGAATTCTGTATTTTGGTTATAGAAATAGTTAAACATTTAGGGATTACGAATAAACTGATGTGGATATACTACACAATCCAGAATTTGAGAGCTTTAAACAAGATATTGATGGTCAGATGAATAAACTAAGTTACATGGGCCTGGCAAAGTTTGTCGTCGGAATCGTTTGACTACATTGTACAAGAAAGTGAACAAGCCAACAGTGAGGCTGATGTCCCCCGCCGAAATCCCCAAATAAAAAGATGACACATATTAATTAATCGCACATCTATTTTTTTCAAAAGTATCGAGCAATCAAACTGATTATCAACTATACACTAAGTTTTATCACTCTCTATCAAATAGAATCAAACTTATCTTGTCCCAAAGCATCGACCAAGGAAATTGCTTATCTCTGCTTAGCCGAAATCCCCAAATAAATAGATGACACATATTAATTAATCGCACATCTATTTTTTTCAAAAGTATCGACCAATCAAACTGATTATCAACTATACACTAAGTTTTATCACTCTCTATCAGATAGAATCAAAGTTATCTTGTCCCAAAGCATCGACCAAGGAAATTGCTTATCTCTGCTTAGCTTAAGCTCGATATGTTAATCACTGAACTAAGTCAAGACGAACATCTACATCAAGTTTAATCATTCTAGCTCAATTGGAAGGAGATTTATTGTGTTCCAAAGCCGTGGCCAATTGAATTGCTTATCGCTCCTTACCCTGAGCAGACAATTCTCATCCTCAAACTTAGTCTAGGTATTGATGTAATGAAACTATACACCAAGTTTCATCACTCTCACTTAATTGGAACTAAAGTTATCGTGTTCCAAAGCATCAACCAATCAAATTGCTTGTCTCTACTTACCCTAAGCAGAAAATGCTCATCTTCACACCCCATCAAGGCATTGACCTAATAAACACCTACACCAAGTTTGAACATTTTAGCTTAATTAGAAGAAGAGTTATTGTGTTCCAAAATCTAGGCCAATCAAATTGCTTATCACTCTGCTTACCCGAGCAGAAAATGCTCATTATCGAACTTAGTCAAGGTATTGATGTAATGAAACTATACACCAAGTTTCATCACTCTTGCTTAATTAGAACTAAAGTTATCGTGTCCCAAAGCATCAACCAATCAAATTGCTTATCTCTGCTAATCCTAAGCAGAAAACACTCTTCGAACTCCATCAAGGCATTCACTCAATAAACCCGTGTACACCAAGTTTGAACAGAGGAAAATTATTGTGTCCCAAAAAGTGTGACAGACAGATGGACGAACAGACCCATTTTATATTAGTTACCAGTTTTCTTTAAGAGATGAGTGACAATTACTTTGTTCTGAGGTAAGTTATTAGTGTTGAAAGATGTAGCGTAGATTGTTTATTACCGTAGCAACTGTACTGGACAAACAAACTCCATCAAGGCATTGACCTAATAAACACCTACACCAAGTTTGAACATTCTAGGTCAATTAGAAGGAGAGTTATTATGTCCCAAAATGTGTGACAGACAGACAGACGGACCGACAGACGGACCGACAAACAGACAGACAGACAGACAGACGGACGAACCCATTTTAATAGTCCCCTGCTTTCTTTGAAAGCCGGGGGACAATAAAATAATAAAAGAAAAGAATTTGTATCCTTCTTATTGCAGAGTGATATAAACCTGTTGTGATGTCACCAGAGGGTGATATCTGATATCCCTAGGGACGATATCAGATATCACCCTCTGATGACTTCAAAACAAGTTGATATGTTTCATAACATGCATGGAGATCAAAGGAAATAACATCTCAAGGTGTGTAATCTCAGTTCAATTGAAACAATTCAACACCATGCAGGAAGTGATAAGGCTCAAGTTTGGGATTTATATGCCCATATTTTTATGTGGACGCATATTGTTGTCGCCCCCGTCCGTCCGTCCGTCCACAATTGTTTGTGAACACTCTACAGGTCACAATTTTTATCTGATTTCAATGAAACTTAAAATATAGGTTTATCACCCTCAGATCTCGGTTTCTTTCGGTATTGGCATGTCACAACTTTTATCCGATTTGGTTTAAACTTGAAATGTATGTTTATAACCCACAGATCTCGGTTCCTTTCATCGTTATCAATTGAGAACTGGGTCGGACTAAACGTCCGTTACTTATTGCTTGATAGGTATCTAAAACAGTATTGAAGATAGGTATACGCTATGCAGAGTGCTATGACAGAAATGTTCAATGGATCGTGGCATTTCTTCATCGCAATTCAACTGTGAAGGATTCTTTTATGTGCACGCCAATGTGTTCACAGGAGCTTGTTTTTTTGTCCCATCTACACAACTAGACACTGTACTTTGCCAGATGCCTGTCCAATCTCGTGGGTTTTCTCCTGGTCCTCCGGTTTCCTCCCACTGCTAAAGACCCCTACGCGCAAGCGAATTATTGAAATAAAATTTAAAAAAAAACATATGTTAGTCCTGAAGTGACCTAGTTTGTGTCGAGTGGACGCTAAACCCCATTTCTCTCTCTCTCACTTTGCCAAATCCTTTGTCCTGCACTACCAACAGGGACAAACCACGCTGCAAAATCCCGGGGAACTTTTTTGACCAACACCAGGATCAGTGTATAAAATCATAGTATTGAGGAGAATATGGCCGATAACCCGACATCACAACAACCCGACATCACAACATGTTAACCCAACAATGCAACATTTTTACGCGACATTATGACATTTTTAATATCGTGGTTTCAGGTGAGAATGTCATATTGTCGAATTAAAAATGTCTTGATGTCGTATTAAAATGTTGTAATGTTGGGTTGTCGCCTTATGAAGGGCGACACCACGATATCACAACATGATACCAATCACACTGATTTGCAGTAAATATTCACTAGGCCGCGACAATCACTGATAAGGATGACATTGATGTGGCTTAATGAGCCACAAATATTCACTTTTTTCCGACAAATTAAATTCTAAAACATTTTTTTTTTTATGTATTAGAAAAATAAATAAAGACATTTGACGTATTTGTAGGTAAAACTTATTTTCTATTTGGTGTAAATGGGTATTAAAATGAGTAAAAGACTCCATTCCACCCGAACCAGTAAAGTCTTATGTAAACAGTGCACGCGCCATTGAGCCAATGATTGAAGCTGCATGATGAGACGTCACGTGTTGAAGATAGTCATCTTTTACAGAGATATTAGAAGACTTTTGTAATCCTCTGTGATACTGGCCCTGAGTTTACAAAGCATTCTCAGAAATATGTTAAGAATTTACTCAATTTTCAATCATTGTTTATGAGAAATACCTTTGATCCAGAAACACAGAACTTTGCACATAGTTTCTTATTGATGTATTTGATACATTAAAACAACAAAATTTTTATAAAGGGCTATATTTTGGTTAAAATAAGGCGAACAATTTTGAGTACATTCTTAACAATAAGTCTGAGAATGCTTTGTGAACTCGGGGCCAGATTGGATACCAATCAGCCACCATAGAAAAAAGATTATTTGTTGAGACAAATGAAATGGGATGCAAAGTCCTATTGTTCTGCTCCGAGTGAGCTAATGAAGGCAGGCTTACACAATACAGTGTGATACCAGGGAAATTTTGCCCAGACAGCAGCGCTATGGGCCTACTCTTATATCGAATTCCAACTACCAAGGGTTCTTTTACATGCATGCCAATGTGAACACAGGAACTATATACGTTATCCCTTACCGGGTCCCTGTGTGTCCTGCACCACTGACAATGGGGAACCATGTCAGAAAATCAAGATGATCTTTCCCAGCCATCATTGAGATCAAACAAGCAAGCTCCAGGTTTGCAAGCCAACATTGAGATCAAACAAGCAAGCTCCAGGTTTACAAGCCAAAATCCTACTCACTAAGCCACAGCGGCATTGATTTGTTGAGACATGCATGGACTCTTATTTACATTCTGCATATGTTCCTTAATTCTAATGCTATGGAACTGAATGTCTCATTGCCTGTGGAGTTAAAAAAATAGTTAATCCTGGGTTGGTTTTACACCGCTTAGTCAAAATTTCGATCATCTATAATTTTGTAAATTTTTTATGAAATCATTTAAATTTTGGATATGATTTGTAGAATATGCATATATATAACGTAACTTTCCTTGTCTGTCAATTTTTGCAATACTTTGGACGCTATTGACAAACACCCTTAGTTAGTGATCAGTATGAGTATAAGTTTGAAATGTCTGTTTCGTTGGCTCTAAACCTATGGTTTCCTATAATCTTAATATAATCCCTGTAGGTCATAACTGAACCGTAGCACCAGTGCCTGCTTCCACCGTAGTTGTAGCGTCAGATAATATAAGTTTTGATCTGTATTTGTCCACAAAACATGACTTCACACATTCACACAATTTCTTTCTTTCTAACAATTCTAACATTTTCAATCTTATTTTTTAACTGTCCGCCCTTTCCAGTCTATCTTTCCAGCTATATCTCCCACCTTGGCTGGAGAAGGCATTGTGAAATTATAAGTTATCACTACTGTTACTTACTATGACTTTCATTTAATCATGCATCGTATAATGTGTCAGCGAAAACCTCATTAGACAGTTAATAAAGACAAAAAATTTTAAATCCATTAATTAATAACTTACCACATCATCAATTTTTATTCCCATCATCTGGCACCAAAGATCACCTCTTAAACTGATGGAACTTCCTTTTTTTGTAAATTCACAAGCCAGTGGAGCATGTTTGGATGCAATGACTAAAATATATGTAAATAATTACAATTCTAAATTCAGACATGTTTAACCTAAAACAAATCCTGGATGTAATGAATGTAATTTGGCTAAAATTTCCGAGATAAATTTCGAAGGTAAAACCACCTGTATTCCTCATTGTGCACTTGGACTGGCCATCCAGTTTTCGGAAATTGTAATACTTGTGACAACACATGATGCAATTCGCTTACTTGTTTCAGGAAAACTGTCGCAAGATCTTGTTCTCAATATTGTAATGTTCATCATTTCACTGACATTCAGAAAACATGATATGTACACTTTAATTTGTAATCATGACATGAAAAACCTATTGCCCATCTTATCAGGTGATGCGATGCTTATGTTGGTTCTGACGTTTTAGCACTTACAATTCGTTTCAGTGATCTCTCTTGCACTTGGTAGCAGCAGTTGAGAGCTCTGCAAAGTTTTGTGGATTTCTTCATCAATTCAATGTGTTTCTCAAAAAATTTGAGAAATTTTTGTAGGGTTTCAAGATCAGGAATTTGCAAAAGTTGTGATAATATAATGGGTACTTTCTCCTTTGTTTTTTGTGATTTGGAGTGAATTTATTCAGTGACTTTAAATTCACTATGTTGGATAATAATTAGGATTGGGTATTCAAGTCTCAAACTTTACTCAGTGCAAAACTGTTAACTATTTACTAATCAATACACTCAAGGGACTGAACATTGGAAACAAAACCTAGAGAGCAGTGATGGGATTTCAAAATTTTTCTTGTCAGACATTTTACCAAAAATAAAGGGGCATAACTCTTATCGTTATTTAAGGAGAAGAATTCATGCCACAATTAAAAATCATGTCAACAAAATATTCAAATCCCGAACGTAATAAAAATAGGTGAACCTCGCTATTTTTCATATTTAATTCCCGTATGGTTATGGTATTCAAATGTATGTCAGTAATATTCCTACAAAATTACGTGTTTTCGTAATACGATAGAATGAAAGTTTGCCGATCTGTACCTGTTAGCCAGTAATATTCCTCCAAAATTACATGTCTTGGTTTATACGGCAGCAAATGAAAGAATGGCGTTCGAAATAATAATACTTGTGGGGATGACAAAACACCATTCCCTTCTTCAGAAGTCAGTATTTTAAAATTACAATGATAGTTAAATCACTCGTAAAAAGGCACAGCTAATTTCAGTGTATGGCTTACATGACTCATAGCACATAGCTTCATAGTAAGCACTGCCTTATATGTTAAGCAATTATCGTGCCGCGCTTGATATTACGGGAAAGTGCCACTGTGGATGAGAATTTCTATATGGAGTCTTAAAAGACGTAAAAGATATCGCAGACAAAATGACTGTCTATTGATTTAGGGTGTTATATACTCTTACGATATGTGACATCTATGACTAGTTTATAGATGCTGTTGGCTCACATCAATGCAATTAATGTGTCCGACAATGGAGAAACCATGAGGTAAACACGTGGATTAAAATTATAATCACTTTAATTGGATTGATGAATAGTCCGACAAAGGGGAAGCAATGACTTCCTTTAAGATTAGATTGATGAATTGTCCGACAAAGGATTAAGTCAGTCAATCATGGCAGATTAAGTAGTTAATCAAGGTAGGTGTATACACGGTATAACATGATAAATACGTTGATCACTTATTTAGCTAATCAATCCAGCCTATTATCAACGATAATCGGGTTGAGTGGTAGTTATACACTCAGTCCACTATATTAATTTTGGAATTTTGAATATTATTCACATGTCTTGATTGGGAATATTCCAGGTACAGATTGGCAAACTTTCATTCTATCGTATTACGAAAACACGTAATTTTGTAGGAATATTACTGACATACATTTGAATACCATAACCATACGGGAATTAAATATGAAAAATAGTGAGGTGTTCCTATTTCTATTATGCACGGATTTTAATATCTTGTTGACATTTTATAAAGAAAAAAACGATGTTCTGACATCACAAACTATTCTTATTTCGGAAGTTCTGCATTCATTTGCTGCCATATAAACGAAGACACGTAATTTTGAAGTAATATTATGGTTGTGAATTTGATGCCGAAGCAGGGTCGACAAGCTTTCATTCAATGTATTACGAAAATGCTTAATTTTGTAGGGAAGTTACTGACATAAATTTGAATGCCGTACGGGGTCGGGAATAGAACGTGAAAAATAGCGAGGTTCACCATTTTTTATTATGTACAGGATTTTAATATTTTGTTGACATCTGATTTTTAATTGTGGTATGAATTGAATACCGTACGGGAATTAAATATGAAAAATAGTGAGGTTCACCTATTTTTATTACATTCGGGATTTGAATATTTTGTTGACATGATTTTTAATTGTGGCATGAATTCTTCTCCTTAAATAACGATAAGAGTTATGCCCCTTTATTTTCGGTAAAATGTCTGACAAGGAAAATTCCAGGTTGGACAATTTTGGGCGTGTAGAAAATAGCGTCGGAAAGGTCAGGAATATACGGGCGAAATCCCAGCCCTGCTAGAGAGGCAGGACAACTTAACCATTTAATCACAATTTTAAAGTTAATGAGAGCATCTCTAACGCTACAATATCTGTCCACATTCCAGCATTGATTGATATGGTACTTTTTTAAAATGAAAAGAATGAAATATGAAATGACTGTAATATGATAAGAGGCAAAGAAGGCTAGGCGTTGGGTTTGTTTTGACAAATTTACAGACAAAATACTAACAAAAAAGTAGGTGTGACACTGCCCCAGGAAGTCGGGGCAAGCACCAAAATAAATAGCTGTTGTCTTTACGGTATATTGAATAAATATGCAAAGTTCCAACATGATCCATTCAGAATTGCAGCCTGTAGACGATAATTACAAAAAATGGGTGTGGCTCTGCCCCTGGGGGTTGGATATGGAACAATATAAATAGGTATTGATATGACAACATCAATAGTTGCCGTCCTTAGGGTATAAGGAATAAGTATTCCAAGTTCCAAGATAATCCATTCAGAATATGCCAAGTACAAAGTTGATCCATTCAGAAGTCCGGCCAGTAAACGATAAACACAAAAATTGGGGCTCTGCCCCTTGGGTTCGGGACATGCAGTTGTCGTCCTTAGGCTACAAGGAATACATATCCCAAGTTCAAAGACAATCCATTAGGAATCGTGGCCTGTAGGCAACTCACAGAGACACAAAGAACAAATGGGTGTGGCTCTGCACCTGGGGGTTGGGTAATCACCAAAAAACAAAGGAGCATCCTTAGGTGATAAGGAATAAGTATGCAAAGTTTCAAGATGATACGTTAAGAAATGCGGCCTGTAGACGACAAACAAACAAATACAAGAAATGGGCTTTGCTCTGCCCCTGGGGATCAGGCATGCACCAAAAACAATAGGGATCATCCATAGGGTATAAGGAATTCATATGAAAATTTTTCAAGACGATCAATTAAGAATTGTGGCCTGTAGCCGGCACACAGATACACAAAAAGAAAATGGGCATGGCTCTGCCCCTGGGGGTTGGACATGCACCCTAAACGATAGGGATGTTCCTTAGGGTACAAAGAATAAGTATGTAAAGTTTCATTATGATACGTTAAGAAATGTGGCCTGTAGACGACAAACAAAGAAATACAAAAAATGGGCGTGGCTCTGCCCCTGGGGGTCAGGCATGCACCAAAAACAATAGGGATCATCCTTAGGGTATAAGGAATAAGTATGTAAAGTTTCAAGATTATCACTTAAGAATTGTGGCCTGTAGGCGACACACAGACACACACACACATACATGTATGTGGTGTAAATCTAGGAACCTCCTAATCGAGGTCTTGATAAATATTACATGTAGCTGAAAACCACCATAATTTCTGAACTCTATTCCATCAAACGATTATGAAAAGATATAAATTATACCTCAATTTATATATTTTATAAATTTGACTTTTTACGGAAGAAATGCGGACACACAGGAGTTTGCAAATAAATGGGGAAATACGACCGACCGAGTCCCTATGCTAGTTACACCTAATCGAGGACACGCATGGTGTAAGTTGGGGATGCCTCAAAACTAGATCATTTGCTCAATACTGTGGACTTGACACTTATTGTGGTCTTTAGCCTGTAAATAACTACGTTTTTGTTCCCCCTTTGACCACACATGGGAAAAAATACAATATATCTGTTTAAAATTGATGTATGGCACAATATCGCGATGTGATCAACCGAGGACGCATATTATGTTTTAATACCGACAAATGGGGACTTTGTGCATGGTAAACACCAACAACCGAGTACACACACACTCACATCCGAGGACGTTACAAGTGTATATCAATAATATAAATTTGTGGGTTCAACATTCTATATCCGAGAACAGGCCCCCTTTGACCACAATAGTAGCTTACAGAAAGAATTTTTTTTTTAAACATCTAATTACATCTTACAGCCTATATGTGAACAATCGATAACTCGCACACAATTGAATACATGGGAAAAATTATTTCTGGGAATCCGGATCTCCAATATGTGATCCCAAACTTTACATTGTGGCAGCAACATAATTCATCCTCGGCATCACCATTAACATTATCGTCATCATCAATTTGTAATGGTCTGAAAACGATTGGAGAAGTAGAAGAAAGGTGGGGGCGGTGGATGATGGTACATGAGAAAATTATAAACTCTAGTTAGGTCTATATTATTACAAGGAATTATTTGGTGAATGAAACCAGGGGGACAGTGATCTGAAACAGCCGGGGGGGGGGGGGGGAGGGAAGACGGGAAAGTGCAGCGAGTGTAGGTGGGGGAGATATCAGGAAATTTCAAGTTGATATCCGTTTAAGATATTATAACTTGAGCTTTTAAGCTACTAACATTTTCAAATTTCAACTTGAATTTAATCTTTTGAGATATGAAAGATATTCGCACAAAAGTATTTATAGGGGGTAGTTATTTCCAATAAAAGTATGGCAAATTTAGTACATATGGAAAGTAGAGACG